GTAAATGGCTTCTGAGATCTAAAATTTTATCAGGCAGGGTGACTGGTTCATCAGAGTGAAGACTTTACTTTTAACTCTACTAAGTTAGAATTTGCAATAATTAAGACAGGAGCTGCTTAAAAGCAGCTAAAGTTCAGCATGGCTCCATCTATGGGAAAAATTTTGCTAAAAAATTATGAAAACAATGTTGTAGCATATGCATTTAATTCATTTAACAGAGCACGTTCAAAAAATAGTTACTATTTCCTATTATTATAGAATTTATTTTGGCAAGCTGAAAACACCATCTGAAGAGTCCCCTTTCTCAAAAAAAAAAACTCCAAACAAAAAATTTGAAAAGCATTTCTGTAACATTTTGATGTATTTCCTCCATCTTTTCAAAAGGCCATTTTGCACATATTTGTGATCATGTGTAGTATTTTTAGATCCTGCTTTTACATTATAAGTATTTCCTAAGTAGACTTTTTAAAAATTTAATTATTTTTCAGACAGGGTCTCGCTGTCGCCCAGGCCGGAGTGCAGTAGTGCGATCATAGCTCACTGCAGCCTTGACCTGGACTCAAGCCATCCTCAGCCTCTAGAGTAGCTAGGGACCATACGCATGTGCCACCATGCCTAACTTTCTGATTTTTTTGTAGAGATGGGGGTCTCACCATCACATCTGCCTAATTTTTAATTTTATAGAACTGGGGTCTTGCTATGTTGCCCAGGCTTGTCTTCAACTCCTGGGCTCAAGCAGTCCTTCTGCCGTGGCCTCCCAAAGTGCTGGCATTAGAGGCGTAAGCTACCATGCTCGGCCCCAAGTAGACTTTTTTTTTTTTTGAGACGGAGTCTGGCTCTGTCGCCCAGGCTGGAGTGCAGTGGCCGGATCTCAGCTCACTGCAAGCTCCGCCTCCCGGGTTCACGCCATTCTCCTGCCTCAGCCTCCCGAGTAGCTGGGACTACAGGCGCCCGCCACCTCGCCCGGCTAGTTTTTTGTATTTTTTAGTGGAGACGGGGTTTCACCATGTTAGCCCATGTTGGGATGGTCTCGGTCTCCTGACCTCGTGATCCGCCCGTCTCGGCCTCCCAACAGTGCTGGGATTACAGGCTTGAGCCACCGCGCCCGGCTGACTTTTTTTTTTTTAAGCAAGGAAGGGGTATTTTTTTTAGTAAGAAAACCCTGGTTGTGGTCTTTGTGCTGATTTTTAAACAGCTTTTAGAATACTTGAATATGGCAAGGGCGTAACGTATACTGCCCACATATTCACTCACTCATTCAGTGATCACTGAGTTCTTATTGGGGGCTGGGCACTGTGACTGGCAGAGGATACAATGATAAAGTTGCCACAGTCCTTCCCCTCAGGGAGCCAACCTTCTGGTGGGAACATAAACCAATACTTAAATTGCACATCAGAACCACTGAGACAGAGGTGCATACCAAGAACTAGGGGAACAAAGAGAGGGTGACTTGTTGCTTGAAAAAGTCAGGAAAGGCTTCACAAGTCAGGTGATATTGAGCTGAGTCTCAAAAGCGAGAAGGGTCCATTTACTAGAAGAGGGCGGGTCAAGATCCGGGAAGACGATCAATTCTGTGGGCACTTGCATTGGCCACTGAGAGAAAAACACACGGACAACCAGTTGCCATGGGAGAGCTGGGACTTTTTGGACTATCCTGCTTCAGCGAGCCAAACCGAGGCTGACAGCAAGGGCAAGGTGACTGATGGGTACCTAGCAAGGGCAGCTAAGGCAGGCAGGGGCTGCAAGTCAGGAGCAGAATAAAGATTTCTGGGAACTTTCCACAGCGGAGGTGATGAAGTTTGGAGTTAGATGTGGGGGCAAATGTAGGTTGTAGGGAGGAGGAATTGAAGTCAAACTGTTATTAGCTTGGCAGCCTGCACTGATGGTAACGCCACCAAGAGAAATAGAGAAAACGGGAGTGGAAGAGGGCCTGGGATGCCCACTCCCTATCCTCTTTCCCTGCCTGGCCAACTTCTGTTCATCTCTCAAGATCCAGCTCCTTTAGGAAGCCTCCCGTCTCCTCCCCTCCCTGGGCTCCTGCCACTGTGGTCTAGCATGCTCTGTGCTCACCCCATCCAATACCTCCCACAGGGAGATGTAATGACCTGTCTCACCTCGCCAGGGAAGGAAATGGAATGCAAGACTCAAAGAGGCCCCAGGATTCTCTACGTTTAAGGTGGATGCAGAGCCAGGCAGACCAAGCACTGGAAAAGGAATGCCCTGGTAGTGGGTATCTTCCGAACACACTGCACACAGTGACTCAGGGCTTGCTGAATGTTTTTATTAAGCTGTATCTCTCTCTTTTTTTTTTTTTTTTTGAGACAAAGTCTTACTCTGTTAGCCAAGCTGGAGTGCAATGGCGCAATCTCAGCTCACTGCAACCTCTATCTCCTGGGTTCAGGGGATTCTCCTGCCTTAGCCTCCCAAGTAGCTGAGACTACAGGTGCACACCACCATGCCCTACTAATTTTTGTATTTTTAGTATAGATGAGGTTTCACCGTGTTGGCTAGGCTGGTCTCAAACTCCTGACCTCAAGTGATCCACTGGCCTCGGCCTCCCAAAGTGTTGGGATTACAGGTGTGAGCCACCATGCCTGGCCTGTATCTCCTTTCTTAATAATAATAATAATAATAAAAACCCAGCATTTACATTGAATAGAAGGAAGACTACACCATTGTTCTAGATGGTTTAAAATTTGGCTTATCTATAGTAACCAGGTCATTTTATTCATTTACTTGTTTCTATTATACATTCACGAATACTTCAATTTTCATATGTATTTCATATATATACCATTCAAATTAAACAATATACAACAGGTTATTGTTAATTATAAACATTTATTAAGCACCAAGAGTATACTGTGATGGTTGCTATATGAAAACATAATGATCGATATAGTATCCCTGCCATTGAGCTTACAATCTAAAATGAAATACAAGGCTATCAGCCTACCTAAAAATTTCCTTAACTTAGAAATGGCTGCTTTGGCAAATGAGTGAGGCAAAATGACCTATTATTCAGGTGCAGTGTTAATAAGGCTATGAGTATGATCCAAAGAACGTTTTACTTGTACCCATTTTTCCTGATTATATTACACTTGCTAAGAAAAACAGTACTTAGAATTTTGGCATGAAATGAATTATTTCAAATTGTCTTATAGGACTTTAAACAAAGAGATGCTTACTGGCCTAAGTTTTCCAGCAGCCAGGGAAAGGCCTATTAAAAATATTATGAACTAGACCAAGTTTCTCTTTTAATCCACTTACAATTCTCTTTTTTTTTTTTTGAGAGGGAGTCTCGCTCTATCGCCCAGGCTGGAGTACAGTGGTGCGATCTCGGCTCACTGCAAGCTCTGCCTCCTGGGTTCAGGCCATTCTCCTGCCTCAGCCTCTTGAGTAGCTGGGACTACAGGCACCCGCCGCCACGCCTAATTTTTTGTATTTTTAGTAGAGACGGGGTTTCACCGTGTTAGCCAGGATGGTCTCGATCTCCTGACCTCGTGATCCACCCGCCTTGGCCTCCCAAAGTGCTGGGATTACAGGTTTGAGCCACCGCGCCCAGCCCACTTACACTTCTTAAACTTCTTCCTCTTCTCCTATATTTAAGGGCTCCAGTGATACTACTTACCAGGGAAGAAAGTACTGTATCTAGATAAACTACCCTTAAATATTAGAGGCTCAGCAAGTTGAAATTCTAGAAAACACTAATTCATAATTTTTTTTTTTAAATTGTTTTATTTGAGATGGAGTCTTGCTCTGTCACCCAGGTTGGAGTGCAGTGGCATGATCTGGGCTCACTGCAAGCTCCGCCTCCCGGGCTCACGCCATTCTCCTGCCTCAGCCTCCCGAGTAGCTGGGACTACAGGCGCCCGCCACCTCGCCCAGCTAATTTTTTTGTAGTAGAGACGGGGTTTCACCGTGTTAGCCAGGATGGTCTCGATCTCCTGACTTTGTGATCTACCCGCCTCGGCCTCCCAAAGTGCTGGGATTACAGGCATAAGCCATCATGCCCGGTCTATTTTTATTTTTATTTTTGAGATGGAGTCTCACTCTGTTGCCCAGGCTGCAGTGCAGTGGCGTGATCTTGGCTCACTGCAACCTCTGCCTCCCTGGTTCAAGCAATTCTCCTGCCTCAGCCTCCCGAGTAGCTGGGACTATAGGCGCCCGCCACCACTCCTGGCTAATTTTTTGTATTTTTAGTAGAAACAGGGTTTTACTGTGTTAGCCAGGATGGTCTCGATCTCCTGACCTCGTGATCCAGCCGCCTTGGCCTCCCAAAGTGCTGGCATTACAGGTGTGAGCCACTGCATCTGGCCACTAATTCGTATTTTAAAAGAGGACTGAGCAAAGACAGCAGTGGAACCTCTAGCTACAGGAGATGCCTGGCTATGCCTGATATGTAAACAAACACAAGCAGTTGAGTTCAGGCCATGCATCTTCAAAGTGATGAAGAATGTATGTAAATGCTTGTTTTCCTGCTCCATATTTCTCGTGTAGAGGTATATGAGAATTTAGCATCAAGACTCTGCACTGCAAACCCTGTCCTATCTTGCCTATATTCATAGTATAATACTTAATAAATATTCCCAAGGTTGTCATTGCTGGTCACATATTAGCTGACAAAGGCACACTGAAGGGACTTTGATTCTTACTGTCAAATGCAACGACTGTTTTAAACTACTGAATACATACAATCTTCAACTATGTGATGATTATTTTCAATCATTTATAATAATTTTAATTCTAAAAGATTACTAAAAAAATAATTGGTTGTAGGGTATCTGAAAACAAAAATAGAATGTACTCCATAACGTACATGCACAGAATTTTTAAAAATGCAGGCATACAAATATTTAATGGCAGAGTGGTAATAACCTGAGACTTTTTAAAAATGGCAAAACAGTATTTCAGCAATTTTTGGAAAACACAATATTTTCCCTAAGAAGTCTCTCTTGGCAACTTTCTCTTTAAGTAACAAAGCAGCAGCAACATTTTTTAAATGTTCATAAAGCTCGCTTTACATTAACAAGTTTATTAAGGAAGAGTGGTCCTGAAACTTCAGGATAAAACTTTTGATAAAAGTAGAAGCACTAATTTTGACCTAAAACAGACACTAAAACACTCCTCCTTCCAATTTAAGAGTGTCATTTACACCTCCTACTTGTAGTAAATAAATCCAATTAATTATAAGATTTGAAACGGAAAATCTGAAACACCTATCAACATCACTTTCTTCTAAGATGACAGAAATTAAGAATGGATTTCCCCCAAAAAAGGAGAAGAGAGTTTTTAAAAACTTCATTACAGCTGTGGTAAATGAATCTGGGTTTACCAATCTCAGATCTCAATGCACTTAGTTTTAGTTGGTATTCTGTGAGATGGCTACAATTCCTGATTTAAGTATGCAGTATGTATTTTTTTAAGGCAAGGCAAGTTTGAATATGTATAAAGCATAGATATCAGCATGGTTATAAAGGCAATATGACGGACATACACATTCACTTTTCTGAAGCAAGACATTCCAAGCTACATACAATTTAATTTCATGTCCTATTCTAAGATTACATGCTTAACATTAAGCTTAGAAACATAATTGCTGTAATACATTAAAAATACTTCATTTTCCAATATTGTAAAGTATATTTTCAAATGCCTGGTATAAATGTTTTTGCACAAAAATTTAAAAGACATCCTACTAGCTAGCTATTCCTACTGTGTTACACAATCATTCGAAGGAAGAATTCACAAGGAGAGCAGGTTATAAAACTAAGCATAATAATTACTGCATTTAACTAAAAAAAAATCAAGTAGTTCTGAATTACACTTGTTTTTTGTCTTAGTAATGGGTATATTCACTTTATAGCTACTCGTTTGATAAATATACTAAGATCGTATAAGATTCATTTTTCTTGTTTTTGTTTTTCTTGGGTGGTTATTTTTTCTGTGTCCTTCCCCAATAGCAGTTGGAATTTTCCTTTGAATACAAAGTAAATTAATGTTTATACTGTGTTTTCACCTGAGTCATGTAGAAGGTGACTCCTTTCATTTTAAAAAGTTATATTTAATTTTGGGGGGGCCCTAATTAAAATTTAACATTTAACCATGTGTTTTTTTTTGTAAACAATCTACATGTCAACAAATGGATAAGGGTTAACAAAGGTGAATACTGACTTCATCTGTGTTTTAAACACGATTATATGAATTTTTCTTTTTTAATTAAAAAACGGCATAAAACCATTCATATAGGTCCTTTTCTCGCTCAACTGCTTTGAGATATAGCTTTAAATATGGGTAGATCAAGACAAGTATGTTGGTAATCTCTTATCTTGCATAGAAAAGAAAAAATAAAGGAACTTATTTCCTTCCTAAGGTCTCGGCCAGTTTCTTAAGTCTTTTCTTCAGCTCCAGTGGAAATTTCTCATAGCACTTCTTACAGACTGGCTTCATGTCAAACTCCACAAACTTATTCCTAAAGATAATAATTATAAAAAAAAAAAAAAGAAATTAGTGGAAACATATTCAACAAAGATATATAAATAATGTGAAGTAATTGTACTGAACTAAACGAAGGCAACTAGGTGATGATATCTATATTCATGTCAGTAAAAAAACCATAATTCTAACCTCAATTCTTATTGTGATATATATATATAAATTCAGTATCATTTGAAAAAAAAAGTCCTTATAAATTGGTTCTATACATCCACCTGTGTAACACAGACTGTAGATTACATATATAATTTACTTCAGTACAGTCAATCACTTTTTTTTTTTTGGAAACAGAGCCTCAACTGTCACCCAGGCTGGAGTGCAGTGGTGATCACAGCTCACTGCAGCCTCTAACTCCTGGACTCAAGTCATCCTCCCACCTCAGCCTCCTGAATGGCTGGGACACAAGTGCATACTACTATGCCTGGCTAACTTAAAAAAAAATTTTTTTTGGAGAGACAGGGTCCTGCTGTATTGCCCAGGATGGTAATCACATTTTAAAATATCTTGGGAATACCTTAAAGATAAATTTATCTAAAGGAAAGAATCATATTTTTATAATGTGAATGATTTCTTTATTGGAGGCAATATGATCTTACTTAGTACTTTAAATTGGGTAGCCATGAGGTTTCATTAATTTTAAATTATAAGGGGTTATTTTGGTTATCTGACAGAAAGGTTGGAAGAAAGTTTTCAATCACTCTTAACATAAACGTAACCAAATCACCCGTGGTTGTATTGTAAATGGTAGCTATTTGAAGAACTCAACTATTCTTTTGAAAAGCTAGGGCAACACACATCAATTTATTTTTAAAACGGTCCTGGAGAAGACAACTTTTCAGATAGCCTCCTGACCATCTGTAATGCATTTCCAAAAGGTAATTACAGGAGCATATTACTGTTGAAATCCAGAGTTTAATTTTGAATTGAATAAATATACAACTTGGTAACTTGTTCATTGTCCGTGAAATCATATTGAGGTAGCATTTGTGAAATAAATCTAGTGGTATATTGCTATCTATGACAAAAATGATAAAATCTACTGATATTTTTTACTGCATTTAAACATTAAACTAGACTTTGCTTCAAGATCATTTTAAAGGACAATACTAGTAACAAAGGAAATTCCTAAACACGTATTTAAAATGAAAAAATCTTCTCTTTTAAAACACCACACTGGGAATTATTTTACGGCTTTTCTCCCAAGGTCTTCTTAGAGCAAAAGCTATTAAAATTGCCATTTTTGTGACAAACACAAAAAAATTATTCCTGTTTTCAGAGAGACTACCTTAGCAAGCTTTCCACTGTTTGAATCTTTTTTTTTTTTTGAGACGGAGTTTCACTCTTTTGCCCCAGGGTAGAATGCAGTGGCACGATCTTGGCTCACTGGCAACTCTGCCTCTCAGGTTCAAGCGATCCTGCCTGTCTCAGCCTCACAAGTAGCTGGATTACAGGCGCCGCCACCATGCCTGGCTAATTTTTTTTGTATTTAGTGGATGGGTTTCACCATGTTGCCCAGGCTGGTCTCAAGTGATCTGCTGGCCTCGGCCTGTCAAAGTGCTGGCATCCACAGGCGTTGAAGCCACCATGCCCTGCCTCATTGTTTTAATCTTACATTTACATTTAATTCCTCTTTATAGAAGGAAACATGTAAAGCTGAAACAAAATATTTTAGAGCTCCAAACACAATGGTAACTCTGAGGGAAAACTGGAACAATCATGCTAGTAATTCAAGAGAATTTCAAAGATTGAAATCATTCTCATAAAAATCACGAATAAAAAAAGAGTTTGAAGACACTGAGGACATGAATTCATAAACAATAGCATATGGGTATTGTATCAATGCATATTCAAACATCATAGAAGAGGTCTTATGTAAATCAGATAGACTTTGCTTAGATATGAAACATGTTGTAAGAGTTTTTTTTTTTTTTTTTTTTGAGACAAGAGTCTCACTCTGTCACAGCCCAAGTTGGAGTGTGTGGCACAGTCATGGCTCACTGCAACCTCAGCTCCTGAGTAGGCTGAGTAGCTGACTACAGGTAGGGCCACCACACCTGGCTATTTTTTTTTTTTTTTTTTACGGATGGGGTCTAGGCATGTTGTCCAGGCTGGTCTCAAAATTCTGGGCTCAAGCAATCCTTCCGCTCTGGCTTCCCAAAGTGCTGGGATTACAGGCATGAGCCACCATGCCTGGCCATGCTGAAATAATTTAATACATAACTTAGAATATATGCATTTTAAAAAATATCAAACAACACTTATAATTTATCAATTAAATGATTTTGGCAAGGAAACTAAAAACCAGGGTTTTAAAAGCTACAGTTATCAGACAAAAATCCTTTAAAACTTTTTCCAGGTTCTATTAACAGATTAGAATTCTTCCCTTTGAATCCATTAAAAAAAAGGAAAGAAATATGTACACCATATGGTATTTAAAAAATGAGGTGGGTGACTCTACAGAGTAAGTGAAATACATGACCACAAACTTGTGTTAAGTATGGAACGTATTCATTTAATCTTAGTAATTTTAGCAATTATGCAAAAGGACCAGTTCTACACAGGACAAATACTTGTATTTCAATCTCTGATGACTACAAATACATGCCCAAAAGTTGTGATGAGGGGGGAAGAAAGCAAAAGACAGAAACAGAACACAAACATATTCCAAAGAACTAACCAAAGGAGAAAGTAGCGAAAATGATGACAGAGCGATAGAAAAGTTTACAAACAGACTGGCTTTTTCTTTTTCTGCTTGTCCTTATCCTTTGCTTCTCTCTCCCGTTTGGCAAGTCGCCTCTTAAATTCTTCTGGCATTTTCTCATAACAGTGTTTGCAGACTGGCTTTAGGTCAATTTCAACAAACTTATCCCTTTGAGTAGGACAAAGAAGGAATAGAAGAAAGAACAGGGAACAATTAAAGGAAGAACCTTTACTTTCAGAAGGCCTGAACAGAAAGAGGAAATAAGAAATCAAATAATTCTTTTTCTAAATTCTAGGATTTTTTTAAGTGTCACCCCAAAGTTTTCAGTCTTAGGATTCACACTGGACAAAACCGTAGACTTACTTGAGTGTTAACTTAGTGTTGCAGGTAGAACAGGCAAAGCAGTTCACACACCAGGCCTTATTAAGAGCAGAGACCACTAGAGAAAGAGGAAAGAGATCTGGTCACATGGAAATACATCCTTATGCGGAGCAGGGCAGCTCAGAATTTCAACTCTAAAACAGAACTACGACTGTGTCTGTGGCACTTGGTGGAGGTTCTCAATAACCTCTTTTTTTTAAAAAAAAAAAAATGGACAGGGTCTTGCTCTATTGCCCAGGCCGGAGTACAGTGGCACAATCATGGCTCACTGCAGCCCCAACCTCCCAGGCTCAAGTGATCCTCCCACCTCAGCCTCCTGACTAACTGAGACTACAGGTGCACGCCACTAAACCTGGCTAATTTTTTTTTTGATACGGACTGTTGCTCTGTTGCCAGGCTGGAGTGCAGTGACGCAATCGCGCTCACTGCAACCTCCGCCTCCTGGGTTCAAGTGATTCTCCTGCCTCATTTTCTTGAGTAGCTGGGACTACAGGCGTGCGCCACCATGACCAGCTAATTTTTGTATTTTTAGTAGAGACAGGATTTCACCATGTTGGCCAGGATGGTCTCGATCTCTTGACTTTGTGATCCGCCCGTCTTGGCCTCCCAAAGTGCTGGGACTACAGGCGTGAGCCACTGCGCCCGGCTTATACCTGGCTAATTTTTGTATTTTTTGTAGAAACACAGTTTTGCCATGTTTCCCAGGCCGGTCTTGAACTCCTGGGCTCAAGCAATCTCCCTGCCTCAGTCTCCCAAAATGCTGAGATTACAGGCATGAGCCACCATGCCCAGCCAAGATCCTCTTTCTTGAGAGCTGCTTTTCTTTTGTTTTTCAGACAGGGTCTCGCTCTGTTGCCCAGGCCGTACTGCAGTGGTGTGATCACAGCTCGAACTCCTGGGCTCAGGCAGTCTTCTCATCTCATCCTCCTGTGTAGCTGGGACCACAGGTGTGTGCCACCATATCTGGCTAATTTTTTATTTTTATTTTGTAGAGATGGAGGTCTTGCTATGTTGCCCAGGCTGGTCTTGAACGCCTGGCCCCAAGAAATTCTCCTGCCTTGGCCTCCTTAAGTGCTGGGATTACAGGTGTAAGCCACCACACCCGGCCCTCAACCTTTATGTATACAGTTGTTGCTCAGTATGTGCAGGATGCTGTTTCTAGGATGCCTTGAGGATACCAAAATCTCAGATGCTCAAGTCCCTGATATAAAATGCATATAGCAGCTTTCCAGCTTGGACCCGGCAGAATGGCTCCCGCAAAGAAGGGTGGCGAGAAGAAAAAGGGCCGTTCTGCCATCAACGAGGTGGTGACCCGAGAATACACCATCAACATTCACAAGCGCATCCATGGAGTGGGCTTCCAGAAGTGTGCCCCTTGGGCACTCAAAGAGATTCAGAAATTTGCCATGAAGGAGACGGGAACTCCAGATGTGCGCATTGATACCAGGCTCAACAAAGCTGTCTGGGCCAAAGGAATAAGGAATGTCCCACACCGAATCCGTGTGCGGCTGTCCAGAAAACGTAATGAGGATGAAGATTCACCAAATAAGCTCTATACTTTGGTTACCTACGTACCTGTTACCACTTTCAAAAATCTACAGACAGTCAATGTGGATGAGAACTAATTGCTGATCATCAAATACATCAAATAAAGTTATAAAATTGAAAAATAAAATAAAATAAAATAAAATGCATATAGCCTATGTACATTGTCTTGTATACTTTTTTTTTTTTCCCCTGAGACGAAGTTTCGCTCTTGTTGCCCAGGCTGGAGTGCAATGGTGTGATCTTGGCTCACGGCAACCTCAAGTGATTCTCCTGCCTCTGCCTCCCGAGTAGCTGGGATTATAGGCATGCACCACCACACCCGGCTAATATTTTGTATTTTTAGTAGAGACGGGGTTTCACCATGTTGGCCAGACTGGTCTTGAACTCCTGACCTCAGGTGATCTGCCCGCCTCAGCCTCCCAAAGTGTTGGAATTACAGGCGTGAGCCACTGCTCCTGGTCCTGTCTCGTATAGTTTAGATCATCTCTAGATTAATTACAATGCCTAGTACAATGCAAATGATATGTAAATAGTCATTATACTGTATTATTTGTATTGTTATATTGTTATTTTTCTCTAAATATTTTTGATTCATAGTTGGCTGAATCCACGGATGTTTGCATCCAGCTGTTGGATACGGAGGGCTGACTTTAATCTTTCCCTGTCCTTAAGTATCCTGTGAAGTTATAAATGTGTGCCATGTCTTACACCAGCAACTGTGCCCCCTAGAACTGGGCACATGTGGCGACTGTCCATGCCTCATGTTGTTTAGGTGAGCTTGCTGTTTCTGTCCCTACTGCTGTTGGCCCAACACGGAAATATGAACTAGGTATATAATTTTCAAAAATCCAGACATTAACTTATTTGCCCCTGTAGGAGTCTTTTTTCCAGAGCTGGTAACAAGACAGCTTCCTTTGCAGCTTCTTTCACCTGGCGTCTGTTTCACAGAGGAGGGAGGTAAGTTTTATTTTCAATGGCACTAAAGATTGTTTTCCTGGGTTGTTTTCACAAACTGCACATGAACAGTGTTTCAAAAGTATTTCCTGAATTAGGTGATGTCTGCAGGGAGCCATGAATCATGCTGAAAACAGGATTGTTCAAAACTTTGCCAGGAAGTCTCTGGCAGAATTGTGTTAGCGACTGTTAGCAAACACAGCTGCTTCCTTTCTGTTCCAATCAATCAGCCCAGCCTAATTACCAAAGTACATTACCAAAGGGTGGTAAGTCCTAGATATGCTTGCTGATAACTGCCAGGTTTTAGTATATGGAGGTTAAAGTGCCTCTTCCTAACTACAATAGCAGATGAAACCGTTCCTAATAAACGTTGTTGTAGAGTTTCCTGAAACTGGACACAGAAACTAGTCTTAGGGTCCACCAGGGACAGTTCCCATGATTGCTGGCATACAACACTGTGGTAGTGACCGGAAGTAGTATCATAAATCAGTAACAAATCCAACTCTTTGATACTATCATCTTACTGCTACAGATTACTTGGGAAATACGCCAAAGAAAGAGAAAAAGCAACTGATAACGATCACATTCCAAACAATAGCAATCACCAACCTGAATTTCCACATTACCCTAGTGTTTTTGTGTCAAAGTGGTACGAATCTAAAACTCACACAGATACTTACCATCACCTTCTATAACACGATTGCAGTGGAAGCAAACATCACCAAACAGCTGAAAATACAAAAAGGTGGTCAAAGTTCAAGATGTGTGAAACATTTTAGAACACTGAACATTTCAAAATAGCTGGTTATCTAAATTGAGAGTTTATCACTACTAGAGAAAATTAGTAAAAGTTCTTTGACAAGTTTTTACTTCTTACAATGAAAGTAATTCACTGTCATCAATTAAAAAGAAAAACTTTCCAGATGACAGTTTGAACACCCAAATAAGTAATGCAAAATACAGAAATCTGTGAGTCCATATGGATAAGAAACAGATAAATGAATAAACCTATAGATGGGAGAGGAGGTGGGCTGTTGCTCAGGCAGAGCCCTGAGGTGGAGACTATGGGTGGAGGATGTGGGGCTGGAGAACTGTCGTTTGCAGCTGGCACAGAGACAAGAATCATCAAGGGGTGCTAAATCTAGGGCAGGCTGATGAGGAACAGGACATTTCCATGGTCATAAAATGAATGCCCACAGATTGCTTCTTTCTTACAAAAGAGGGAAGGAAATTGTAATTCATAGTGATGTTATCGGCCAGCACCATGCCTGGGAGATCACCAGTGGCAGGAGAGGCATAAAGTGCTCCAGAGACAAGGTTCTGAGAGGATGCCTGTCACTGTTATGGGGCTGCAACCTGCTGTGTATAACCTCATCTAAGCACAGAGAAGCAGCAGGTGAACCCAAGTGGAAAGTAGTCTATTAAAAGGGGGTAGGGGCCCTCTGCACCCCTCCAAAATGTCAATGTCATCAAAAATTTGAAAAGGCTCTGGAAATGTTCCAGATTTAAGAAGGCTAAAGAAACATCACAATCCCAGGCTGGGTCCAGTCTGGGAGTGGAAAAAGTGCTGTGAGGATGTTACTGACTCAAACGACAAAATTGGAATAAATGGGTTAAAGTATGGTATCAATATTGATAACTACGATTATGTTACAGAGTCCCATATTCTTGGGAAATATACACTGAAGTATTTAGGGGTAAAGGAGTATGATGAACTTATTGGCAAATGCTTTAGAAACGGCCATCATACTTGTATATAATATTTACGTAAGTACGTGTTTTACACAGGAAGACCGAGCGTGGGAAACGATAAAGCGAACTGTGGACTTGAATGAAAGGCATACAGGTATTCTTTGTATTTTCCATTTTATAGTTAGCTTCTGAGTCTGAAATTATTTCCCAAATACAAAGTTAAAAACAAATTTCTACTGAACAATGTGCATCTTCCAAGAGATTTACTTGTAGTTAAACTACTGATAAGCTTAGGTTCATAAAAGTCTATCTGGCACCCAGTGACTAAGGTCAATACCTGGTTATAGTGGGTTTCACAATACGCCAGGCCTTTCCTCTCATAATGGCGATGTCCAAGAAAGGGTTTCTCACACTTGGCGCACACAAAATGCTGGAAAGAAAAACTGCTACAGGTCATTTTTGAATTGCCATATTTTATATCTAATAAAGGAAACCCCAAAGTTAACCTATTTTCAGAGAAGATGAATGAAAGTTTGAGACAGTCATTTCATTTGGCCATAAGTGGCCTCATAATATAATACTTTCGCAGTTTTAATTCAGGTGTCTGTCTTTAAAGGTTACTTTAAGGCATAGCCTATTACAATAGCCCAAAAAGAGAACAGAGGTGAGCATCGCAGTAGCACCTATAAAGGACGAGCTGCTGCTGGATATAGACCGTGGCACTTCCTGCTTCAAGAAGGCTTTAGGAGCAAAAGTGCACATCCTGTATCATTACTGAGACATTCACAAAAGCAGTGTACATTCTATATTCTTAACTGTCAGCAAAGTCAATTGTCTTTAAAATGTCCATGTTTAATCTTTAGACTCTCCTAATCTTGCCAGGACACCTGAAACACAGAGATTTGAAAGTACTAGTTACCCCTGAATCATGAAGATTTGAAAGTATTGGTTACACCTTAATCATGGAGATTTGAAAGAACTGGTTGCCCTTTGCCATTCAGAACTCACCTCCACATGCCACTGCTTGCCCATGGCGTTCACCACGCGCCCTTCAATGGGCCGTCGGCAAGCGCCACAGATGGGGACCCCCATTTTATCATGGCATGGCAGGCAGTACAGCTCCCCTTTCAGCTCCCGTGCATCGGCAGTCAGTTCCTTCCTGTCCGTGAGAAAGACAGCCAGCTTAATACTAATACTAAGAGAGAAAAATGACCAACCGATGGGGCTAGCACACTTTTCAGGTTTTTAAAGACATTACTATGACGATCCCTGCAAACTTCTTTTTCCCCCTTTAGAGGTGATCAGAGTAACCTGAATTAATAGACCCGAACAGGTTTCAGACTCCTACCAAAAAATCTGTATCTTAAAAGGATAAGATGCAAGACTAGGTCAGATACACACCAACACACCAGGCATATTCATCATTTCCTTCTTATATTATCACATTACATTTTAGTCCACTTGCCTTCCTTTAAAAGCTACAGAGAATAATCACAGTGCTGAGGGTAGACTCAGTAATACTACCTGCTATGGTGTGACTGTGCCCTCCAAAGTTCATGATTCCCAGTGCAGGTGTTGGGAAGTAAGACCTCTAAGGGGTGATTAGATCATGAAGGCTCTGACCTCACGGATGGATTAATGCTGTTATTGAGGGGGTGGGTTCCTTATAAAAGGACGAGTTCAGCCTCCTTCCTTCTCTTCCTTCCCCCCTCTTCTCTTCCCCACCATGTGATGCCCTCTGCTATGTTTTGATGCAGAAGAAGGTCCTCACCAGATGCCAGTCCCTCGATCTTGGACTTTCCAGCCTCCAGAACCATGAGCCAAATACATTTCTGCTGGTTACAAATTACCCAGTTTGTGGTATTCTGTTATAGGCGCATAAAATAGACTAAGACATGACCTTTCCAAGCAAACTGAGAAGTTGGGAGACTAGTTCCATTTACTAACATATTTAAATTGTCACAAGCTGTTGAAAAGAGTTATAGGTTAACAGGTTTATTTTCATAAACAATAAAATTCCCAGAATTTCCTTCTCCAAATACTCAAATTAAATATTATTTTCAGTCTCCTGCATCAATAAACATTTGGTCAGAGATGGTCCCAATTAGTCAAATGGATTTGTTTGAATTTCACCCCTTTTGTGTAATTCTCTAGGAGAGATGCTAATGAAAAGTGGACAGAGGAGAATCCCCCAAGAGGAAGGATAGGTAAGAAAATGAGGTAAGGCACAAACTGATAATTCAATCATAAAAGATGAGATGGCTGAACTTATACGACCAAACTGTTTTCTTTTTTTCACTTTTTTTAAATGAGACGGAGTCTTGCTCTGTCATCCAGGCTGAAGTGCAGTGGTGCGATCTTGGCTCACTGCAAGCTCCGCCTCCCGGGTTCACACCATTCTCCTGCCCCAGCCTCCCGAGTAGCTGGGACTACAGGTGCCCGCCACCATGCCCGGCTAATCTTTGTATTTTTAGTAGAGATGGGATTTCCCTGTGCTAGCCAGGATGATCTTGATCTCCTGACCTCGTGATCTACCTGCCTTGGCCTCCCAAAGTGCTGGGATTACAGGCGTGAGCCACCACGCCTGGCCAGTTATTGCTAAGTTTCTCAGGCACAATAAGAGTATTGTGGTTCTGACCAGGTGCAGTGGCTCATGCCTATAATCCCAGCACTTTGGGAGGCCGAGATGGGTGCACTGCTTGAGCCCAGGAGTTTGAGACCAGCCTGGGCAACACAGCAAGACTCCACCTCTACAAAAAATTAAAAAAGGGTGGCGTGTGCCTGTGGTCCCAGCTATTCTGGAGGCTGAGGTGGGAGGATTGCTTGAGCCCAGGAGGGTGTGGCTGCAGTGAGCTATGACTGCCCACTGCACTTCAGCCTGGGCAATAGAGCGAGACCCTGTCTCAAGAGAAAAATAAAAAAAATTAAAAATAGTATCGTGGTTCCATAGGAAAATGCCCTTATTCTCAGGAGATGTATACTGAGAGTCATGAGAAATTTTAGAGGTATGTGTATACATGCACACGCACACACATACACGAGGGTGAAACGAGAATGTACTGTATACACACAAGCATGGCAAAATGTTAACTGGTGAAACAAAATTAAGGGTATACAGGTTTCATTATATCATTCTCTTAACTCTTCTATAGTTTAACATTTTCTAGACTAAAAATTGGAGAAAAACAATTTGGTTTGCTAGAGTAACAGAACTATAGATAAATGTAGTCTTTCATTCCCACTGCTTGTGTAATAAAAAAGAAACAATTCCAGTACCCGCAGTTGGCACAGTTGAAATGGTCTGGATGGTAGGGGTCGTTCTTGAATATCAGAGGCTGCTCGTCGATGATAGCATGGCATTTCTGGCAGATATATTTCCCAAGGCCTCTCGCTTTCTCACGATTATGACAGGGGCGACACAGGTGTCTAAACAGAGCCAAAACTTACATTTAAAATTTTAGGTTCTTTCTAATGGTTAAAAAGAAATATGCTTCCCTTATCTCTGAAAAGAAATTAAGCACACCATTTCTTAAAAAAATCACTCCTGTGCTTAACAGAGCAGAATCAAGCTACACGAAAATTGTGTTCCAACCCTAATATCTGACTGATTTTCATGAAACTCCATCTAGGCACATCCCCCGTTGGTAGTTCAGCCATGCATGGAGCAGTTATGCCCTGTGCACAGCAATGCAAGGGTCCCCTCCCAGCAGCAGCACTCAGTCAACACACTGCAGTGTCTGAGTTCCCATGCCCTCAATTTGGTGTCCTACAGAACTGCCTTACATCCCGCGTGGAGAAGACACGTGATCTCGTCACAGTCACATTATCCACCCACATCTGACAAGGATGAAAATCCACCTACCTCCCAGCATTCTTGACAAAGCCGATATCCGCCAGAACTTCCTGGCAGAGGTCACAGCGGAAGCACTCTGGATGCCAGCTGTTATTCATGGCTTTGATAACTCGGCCAATGATGAATTCACCTGTGGGAAAGCAACACACAAAGGATGTTACTAAGTAACAAGCATGGCACTTTATTTACTAAGAGAGCAATTAAGGAAAAACACTGAGGAAAAAAAACCATTTAAGCCTTTCTCAACAAAGGATTTTTTTTTTTTTTTTGAGACAGAGTTTCGCCCTTGTTGTCCAGGCTGGAGTGTAATGGCGCCATCTTGGCTCACTGCAACCTCCACCTCCTGGGTTCAAGCGATTCTCCTGCCTCAGCCTCCCAAGTAGCTGGGATTACAGGCATGCGCCACCACGCCCGGCTAATTTTGTATTTTCAGTAGAGATGGGGTTTCTCCATGTTGGTCAGGCTGGTCTCGAATTCCCGACCTCAGGTGATCCTCCCGCCTTGGCCTCCCAAAGTGCTAGGATTATAGGTGTGAGCCACCACACCTGGCCAGTAGAGGAACTTTTTATTTATGTGTCTACCAGAGTAAGCACATTAGAAAAAAAGTTTTTATTTCATCTGAGTTTTTGTTTTTGATTCAGTAGCCACGTTTTTGGGCTGTTTTGTTTCATTTCTCAATCTAGTTTTCCTTTCCAAACGAGGTACTGGGCTGTCTTGAATGCCTTTTGGTTATTTCTGTCATTGTCAACATAGACAACTGAAATCTCCAGCACAGTTTCTTATAACCCATACTTAATTTATTCTTTCATTAAACCTTTAGAACATTCTACTCAGTTCCTTCAATCTCTAGAAACCTAGCAGAGGGATTAGCAACCAGTGAAGTGGACAACATGCAAGCAAGTCCATTGCTTATGCACCGTGCAAGCAACGCTGAAGCATCCCTAAGCATCAAAAGCACCTCACTGATGTCTTCCCTACCTCTTTCCTGGCAAAACCAAAAGCAAATAGATAAAGGTTGTGTTAACACAGGAAAAGAACAATCCTAATCGCCACCCGATAGGAGTCCTAGTTCATCCCAAAATACCTCTACCTTAAATGTCCTTAAAAATCAATTCTCTCTAGGTTTTGATACTCCTCCAGTTTGTTATATATTAACAATAGGGAAGAGGAGTGATGAAGTATCCAACAGTTACTCATAATGAGCACCAAAAACCATCTTTAGCATCGATACTTCACCAGTGTGAAATGACTTAAGGAATTTGGAAACTTATTTTTTTTTTCCCCAAGATGGAGTTTTGCTCTGTTGCCCAGGCTGGAGTGAAGTGGCCCAATCTGGGCTCACTGCAACCTCTGCCACCTGGGCTAAAGCGATTCTCCTGCCTCAGCCTCTTGAGTAACTGGGATTACAGGCACCTGCCACCACGTCCAGCTAATTTTTGAATTTTTAGTAGAGATGGGGTTTCCCCATGTTGGCCAGGCTGGTGTCAAACTCCTGACCTCAGGTGATCCTCCTCCCACCGCCTCCCAAAGTGCTAGGATTACAGGTGTGAGCCACCGTACCCGGCCGGAAACTTACTTTTTACTTGACGTTCAGCAGTAAAACTTACCACACTGATGACAGCAAGGGGCAAAGAGCATCTGAAAGTCATGTTCACAGTACTTTCTTCCTTCAAACTGAAAGAGAGGGTACCACCAACTTACAAACAAGAAATAATCACAGGAGAAATATAATCATTTGATGGAGATATACAGGAAAGGTGTTTCCGAGCTAAGAGTTTGTAACTCTACCGGGATTTAGAAAAGCAGATACACTTTCGCACCATCCATACATACATCTGCATGTTGGTACAGGAAAGACACATGGAATGAGCTGAGGCCAGAGTGACTAGTACACCTACAGGGATGGTGACCCGGCCTCTGACTGCGCTGAATTGTTTTCTGGCTCAAATACCCTGCCTTTAATGAATCTGATGAAAGCTAGGGATCACCTCTCCCTCCAGAAAATATGCACATACATACAACTCACTTCCCACATTTTTTAGGTCGATATCTGTAATTCTCACTGTAACCTTAAATATTTACAAAGGGCAAATATTCTAGCACATTGTACTTTATTTATTTATTTATTTTAAATGGGAGTCTTGCTATGTTGCCTAGACTGGTTATTGGACTCCCGGCCCAAAGCAATCCTCCTACCTCAGTCTCTCAAAGCACTGGGACCACAGGCGTTAGCCAGTATGCTCAGCCCCAGCACATTTTAAAATGACCAAAATCCATTAAAAAAAATCCTTTTAACAGCCGCAATTTTTACATCTTTCATTTCTTGAACTGTTTCCATTTCATGTCCTCCAATTTTATCCGAGTATATTTTTTGTACTTGTCTTTAACTGATCGCCCTGCCATACTTTTCTGCAATTAAAAAAAAAAAAAAAAATATATATATATATACAAAAACCATGAAATTTTAAAATGTGCTTTCTGAATCCATAAGGCTGTAAAGGTTAACATTTATTTTCTTCTGTATTATCATTACAATGATTAGTACAGGACAAGCAAGATATAAATATTAATTTTTTAATACTATCTGTTTACTTGAAAAGCATATCTTAGTGATAGTGAAATGAGTAGGGCTGCCCTTTCCTCCTACAATTATTTCATGTATCTCATGCATCAATATGGTTTTCCACTAGAAGACTCAGGTTCAATATTAATTCTAGATCTATTTTCTATTTTGGGTGTTGCTTTTTAAAAAAAATATATAAATGCTAAGAAGCCTTTTTCATATTACCAAGTCGTGAGACTTGTTATAGTACTGTCTCCCCTTGAGTCTTTGAGCTCCTTACAAGTTATATGTCAAAAGTCATACACTGTTTGATTATCAAAATCCACTTTTAATGATATCCATTTTTAATGTATCACTTGTCAACTCAATTTCCTCAAATTATGGCTATAGATTTAGTTCATCCAATTTAGTGAACGTATCTACCACAGCTTAACTGGCAAAGTCAGTTCTTACTATTGAACCAACCAAAGCAGATTTTCTCCTAGAAAAATAACTTTTTTCCCCCCAGAGTCTCACTCTCTTGCCCAGGCTGGAGTGCAGAGGTATAATCTTGGCTCACTGTAACCTCTGCCTCTTGGGTTCAAGCGATTCTCCTGCCTCAGCTTCCTGAGTAGCTGGGATTAGAGGCACCCGCCACCACATCCAGCTAATTTTTGTATTTTTAATAGAGACAGGGTTTCACCATGTTGGCCAGGCTGGTCTTGAACTCCTGACCTCAAGTGATCCGCCCGCCTTGGCCTCCCAAAGTGCTGGGATTACAGGTGTGAGCTACTATGTTCAGCTTTCACTTAATTCAAATTAATAAGCTGTCATATATTTAATGTATCTTTTTGTTTTTAGACTAGGTCTTGCTATGTTGTTCAGGCTTGTCTTGAACTCTTGGGCTCAAGTGATCCTTCCACATCAGCCTCTTGAGTAGCTGGGATTACAGGCACACACTACCTTGACCAGATAAATGTATTTGGTTTTTAAAGTTTATTAACAGAGGAGAATAAATTGATATGCTATTACTCATACTCTGCCAAACTACATTATAATGTGAAGTCAAAAGTACAAGTATTTATGAAGTGTGATATATTTCTGATAAATGTATGCCATCTATGTGTATAAAAATCTGATGTTTAGCTTTTAGCAGTAATTCATGGAACTACCATATGATCCAGCAATCTCACTACTGGGAATATATCCAAAGGAAATAGAATCAATACGTGGAAGAGATATCTGCACTCTCATGTTTACTGCAGCACTATTCACAATAGCCAAGATTTGGAAGCAACCTAACTGTCTATCAACAGATGAATGGATAAAAAAAATGTGGTACATATACCCAGTGGAGTACTCTTTGGCCATACAAAAGAATGAGATCTTGTCATCTGTGGCAACATGGATGAACCTGGAGGACGTTACATTAAGTGAAATAAGCACTGAAGGACAAATACTACATGATCTCTCTCATATGTGGAATCTAAAGAGGTTGATTTCATAGAAATAGTAAGATAGAGGCTGCCGGAGCCTGGGGAGAATGGAGTGGAGAGCATGGGGAGAAGATGATCAATGGGTACAAAGTTACAGTTAGGATGAGTAAGTTCTAGTGTTCTATTGCACAGTAGCGTGACTGTGGTTAATAATATTGCATTTCAAAATAGCTATTTCAAAATAGCTAGAAAAGGGGTATTCTGAATGTTCTCACTACAAAGAAATTATAAATGTATGAGGTGATGGATATGTTAAATACCCTGATTTGATTTTTACACAATGTATACATGTATTGAAACATCACACTGTGCCTCATATGTGTAATTATTATGTCAGTTAGAAACAAACAAACAAAAAAACAAAACGACCACAAAACAGCCTTCTGTATCTGCTGGGTCTGCATCCTTGGATTCAATCAACCAAGGATAAAAAAATATGTGGAGGGAAAAACCCCAAACAATAAAAAATACCACTAGAAAAATAAAAATAAGACAAATTTAAAAACACAGTATAACAACTATTTACAGAGCATTTACATTTCATTAGCTATTATAAGTAATCTAGAGGTAATGAAAAGTATGAGGAGGATGTGCACAGGTTATATAAAAATAAGTACACCATTTTATATCAGGGACTTGAGCGTTCGAAGATTTTGGTAAACTCTGAGGGTGAGGTGGGAGTAGGGTAGAGGGGGTGTCCTGGAACCAATCCTCTGTGTACACCATAAGACAACTGTATAAAAACTCAGAAATAACTCCATTAATTTAGTTAGAAATGATCAACTTTTATTCTGTATTAAATGAAAGAGAAAGATGCATATTGCATAAAAACACAAAAAAGTAGCCCAGCAGTTAACATATATATATATTTTAGAAGGTGTATATATATATATATATTTTGGAAGGTTGAAAATATAATCCCTGGCTAAGATAAAATAAAATTAGGATTAGCTGTAATTTGGAAACACCTTTTAACAAGACAGGTAGGAGTCAAGAACACTGACCATGGATCCAGACTGCCTGCGTTCAAGATCTGACTGAAAGACTCATTGTGTGGCCTTGGGCAAGTTGCTTAACCTTTCAGGGCCTCCCAAGAGTCAAAAAGCGATAATGCTTTGGTCTGTTTGTTCTAGCTCATGGCATGCCCTCACTGGGACATTGTGAAATACATATTTGGTCTTCCTCCCAGTTTCTTGGCATACAGCTCCTAAAATCCTTGGAATCTTAAAAGTGATGTCTTTTTATATGTTAATGAGGTGACTCATGACTGGCAGCCCCTGGGTAGATTCAGGATGGGACTGGGTTACCAGAAAGACCAAGGCAGAATTAGATGGTTGGGGTTTTCAGCCCCACCCTCCAGCCTTCAGGGAAGGCAGAGAGGAGCTGAAGGTTAAGTTGATCACCCATGGCCAAGTGTTTAATTAATCATGCCTACATAATGAAGCCTCCGTAAACATGTGAAAGGACAGGTGCAGACAGCTTCTGGACAGCTGAACACAGTGCAGTTTCCCAGAGGGTGGTGGAGCCAGAGAAGGTGCGGAGGCTCTGACCACCTTCCCCCATATACCTCACCCTATGTATCTCTTCATCTGTATCCTTTGTAATATCCTTTTTTAAAATTTATTTTTACGTATTATTATTATTTTTTTTTTTCAGAAACAGGGTCTTGCCCTGTTTTTCAGGCTGGAGTGCAGTGGCATGAATATAGCTCACTGTAGCCTCCAACTCCTGGGCTCAAATGATCTTCCCACCTCAGCCTCCCAAGTAACTGGGACTGTGTGTGTCATCATGCCTGGCTAATTTTGTTATTTTTTGTAGAGACGGGATCTCACTATGTTGTCCAGGCTGCTCTTGAACTCCTGGCTTCAAGCAATCCTCCCACCTGAGTCTGTCAAAGTGCTAGGATTACAGGTGTGCTCCACCGTGCCTGGCTGGTAATATTGTTTATAATAAACTGGTAAAGCCAGGCATGGTAGCATGTGCCTATAGTCCCAGCTACTGGGAAGGCGGAGGCAGGAAGACTGCTTGAGTCCACGAGATGGAGGCTGCAGTGAACTGTGATTGTTCCACTGCACTCCAGTTTAGGCGACAGAGCTTGGCCTTATCTCAAAACAAACAAACAAACAAACAAACAAAATACTAATAATAAACCAGTAAACGTGTTTCCCTGAGCTCTATGAGTTGCTCTAGCAAATTAACAGAACCAGAAGAGGGGGCTGTGGGATCCCCAATTTACAGAGCATGTCAGCCAGAAGTACAGAGAAAGCAATCTGGGGCTTTCAACTGGCATCAGAAGGAGAAGAGAGTCCTGTGGCTGACCCCTCAATCTGTGGGATCTGAGGCTATCTCCAGGTAGATAGTGTGGGAATTGAATCAGAGAACGCCCAGCTGGTGTCCACTGCAGAACTGATTGCTTGCTTTGTGTGTGGGGAAAAATTTCCATACATTTGGTCACAGAAGAACTTCTGTGGTGACTGTCGTGGTGTGCAAGCAGAAGAAAAATAGTTTGTGTTTTCTATCCACCTCATTCACAATTTCTTACCAATGCTCTTTGCTTTGCTCTCCCAGAGCTTTCTCTTAAAAAGGATGAATTCTTCTGAAATTAGTCAGGGGATGTAGTCAGGGGATGAAAAAGG